TCCTGCTGGTGCTTCTGCAGCTTCTTTCCAACAATCTCCATATCATGACCCAAGATCTGCATCTCCCCATCATCAGAGACATTCTCTATCTGAAGGCCTATTATGGTTTATGAACAATTTGGAAGCACAACTAGCAATGTTGTAGTGGTCTCAGGAAGTAGCAGAGGTGATTGTGAAGATTGCTTCATGAATTCTTCTATTCCCTTTGTATGAAAAAGTGATTCCAAAACAACCCCCAAACAGCAATCCATAGCAAGGCATTCATTCAGAGCTCTCTAGCTTTGCTATCAGAAACAGTGGATACTCATTCCCTATTTACAATTCCAAAGGAGAACCGGTTCTCCTCCAGGAAACCTTCCTCCCCTCCCCAAACCAGCCAAGATTGTAAAAGAAACCAGCAAAACAGCCTTAGACAATGACAGCAGGCACGGCCTATTCTCTTGCAAACAATGGTACACTATGAACCCTGGTGTGTACTTCCAGCCAGTGTATTTTAGCAAGCTGGTGTTACAAAAGAGCACAAAAGGTGAGGGCTAATACGGTGCTAGATAATACAAGACGACAGCTCACGAAGGCACTTTCTCCTCCTACCCTCTACCTGTTATTTCAGTTATCCACTGGATGAGATTAAGTGTTTGATCCTCATCAGAGAAAGCTGAAAGTCCATCTTCTATTTTCAGCTTTCCATCACAATCACCCCACCAGACACATTTTATCAAGAGGAGTTCACGGGCAATAGGGTTAGCAGTTTCCTTTCAAGATCCCTTCTCCTCTGCCACCAGGAGAAAGCACGTGTCCCCTCTCACAGACACTACAGATATTTCTGCAGTGCTCATCAGAGTGCCTAAACTCAGATTCGGCAGCTCCTGTTTTAATGCTTTAATAGCCCACAGATACAAAAAGAGTACACCCGGGGTAAGAAGGAACTCAAATTCCGGTTAGGAAAATGGGTGTAAGTCATGAGGATGCTGTATAAGAAACTGATGCAACAGCAGTGACTTGCAATAGGCATGTCTCTCCCCACCACAGGCAATAACAAGAATGTGGGGAATGAGAAGCCTCCTGCAGCTATGCAGGCCTCTTTCTTAACATGCATTAGCCAACAACAAGGTCAGAAGCTATTTTGAAGACAACTCCCAAGACATAAGCCAGGTATAAAGCAAAGACTAGTGCAGCAGAATCGCCAGGACCTGGAGATTAGGAGATTATCAGATTGAAGAGTCTCAGAAGGAAGTGAGCAAAAATAGCACGAACCCCATGAAGATGCGGAGCGGTGACACAGGACAGAGTGCAAGAGCCCGAGGGGAAGGCAGGGCACCTTTCAAGCAGTGCTGATATGTCTGGTTAGACAACTAGGGTTCAATCACAGAAAAATCCAAACCATTTCCCCTGCCCTCTGCATCAGCAGTTCAAGGCCCATAAAGAGAAAGGCAGAGGAACAAGCTGAGCCAGGCAGGATTCACTCAAGTCCTAAAGCCATTGGGTTTGGGTAAGCAAAGACTGGGAGGGAGGTACCTGCAGCCCTCCTGCATAGCTCAGTAATGAGCCTGCTGTGAAAATCTCACACCAGGAGGATCCCATGGGATTCGTGCAGCAGCACATTTACTGACCAACACTGGGAATGGAGCAGAGGGGTGCAGCTCAGAGGCTCTGACCTGGGGAATTTACCAAGGCCCCCATAGCCCATAAGATGCACCCAGCTGGCAGCACTCTATGCACCCAGTCCTGCTGCAGCTCAACAGCTCTGCTTTTTGTGGCAGCCTGCTCTTTTTTTTTTTCCCATCTTTTTTTAGCTAAAGCTTTCCAGATTTCACCCTCTCACCATTCATTTGATCACAGCTCTCCAGAGGCCTTGTTGAGGAAGGATGGAGCTGCTCTTCCCCCATCCCCAAGGCAACCAAACGCCCTTTCCTGCCCCCTTGTTCATGCTGATTGCACTCAAAGTCTGAAACCATGTGCACAACATTAACAAAATCAGCTCCCTTTGCTCTTTCAGAGGGCTAAGCCAGAGCAATCAGGCCCTGTGCAAACCCCCAGGCTGAATCCCCTAGTGTATGCCACAGCTTCCCTCTTAGAGAGTCATGGAATGGTTTTGCTTGGAAGGGATCTTAAAGCTCATCCAGTTCCAATCCCCTGCCACGGACAGGGACACCTTCCACTAGACCAGGTTGCTCCAAGCCCCATCCAGCCTGGCCTTCAACAGGGAACTTCCACTTGAACTCTTACCTTTGCCATTCCCACCAGGAGTGGCCCAAACCCACATCACTGGCAGAAGGAGAAACCCACTGTGCTACACACACACCATGTGTGCAGCCCCTGGAGGTCTTCACAGCCCGTATTGTGCTGTGAGACTACTAAAGAAACAGCTCTTCATCTACACAACACTTTGAGTTGTGTGTTATCACAAAGCCTTGAAAAGGTTCCCAACATATGTGGTGTTGCTGGGGAAAGGAGTTGTGGTGAGAGCAGCTTGACACAGCTCTGGGGTATCACTCTGTGACCAGAAATCAACATAGCAACATGCTTTAACTCATCACAGCCCCAGACAACAGTGATTCACAACCCTTCTCACAAACACCCCCAGCTAATCAGACCTCCTAATACAATAAATATCCCTAATTAATTGGGGAAGGAAAGTGATGGTCCAGGAGGGGCTTCCTGTTAATGCTACTAGTATGGAAGTCACCCATTAAGGCTCTACCCTGACCGACCCATTGAGGAAGCCCTCTGCCAAGCTGGCCTTTAGCTAAAGCTGCTAAGAGGAGACTCAGAAATCCTAACTGACAGCTCAGGGAAGAGATTAGTTTCAGAAATGATTAAGTGCCTCTTCCTTATTTTTAGGTTTTGTTTTGTAATTGTTTCCAGGTATGTAATTAATTATTTAACCTTTGGTTTGCTAAAGTAAAATAAGCTTTAGAATAAAGCTTAAAATATAAGCTCTAATGTAGTATTACAGATGAAGTGTACAGGTAGCTGAAGCTGTGATCAGCAGCACAGTCTCAGAGGCTTTCGTAGAATCATAGAAGGGTTTGAATGGGACCGTAAAGCTCATCCACACCTTCCACTAGAGCAGGTTGCTCCAAGCCCCTGTGCCCAACCTGGCCTTGAACACTGCCAGGGATGGGGCAGCCACAGCTTCTCTGGGCACCCTGTGCCAGCGCCTCAGCACCCTCACAGGGAAGAGCTTCTGCCCAAGAGCTCATGTCAGGTGGCTCCAGGAGGCAGGACATGGCATTCACAGACATTGCCATCCCCATCACTGCAGGCAGACTCCACCGATCCTCTGGCTGCTTCAGTAATGAACTGCAATTTGAACTGAGCTCTGCCCCACTCCTTTATGATCTCAAATTAATCACATCCTAAGGTTTTTCCTCCTTTTGTAACCACAGTTGTGTGAGCAAGCAGCAAATCCTGCTAATTGCCAAGAAAACGGCTCATTGGTCTCACACCTCATCCAGCTGGAGCAGGGCCAGGGCCAGCCCAGCCAAAAAGCCCAGATATTCCAGGGTAGCATTTCAGATCTATTAGGCTGGACCCCGGAAACGTTACAACCCTGGAGCTGCTGGGGAATTTAACACTGGAAGGACACAGCATATGCAGGGCGCTTTGCACAGCTCCCCCTTTAAGCTTATTAGAGCCCAGCTGGCTCTTGTGGCTGGTCACAGACAGGGTTCCTTCATGTTAGCACTAAAAATGCTTATACCACAGAGCCACATCCTGCATCTACACCCCCCCAGCCTCAGACACTTAACATTTATTTGGTCATTTATCAGCTATTACCTACCTGTTCGAAGAAGAAATCCCAGCTGTGCTTCCTGATGCAAAAGCAAGGGCTTTCCCTAGACCCAAATGCCAGAGCAAGGCTAAAATGCTGTCTGGTCAATAAGCAGCAACAACAAGCAGCAGCTTGGCTCCACAGAGACACAGCTCTACCAGGCCTGAAGGGCAAGCAGATTCAGCTCCTGTAGCAGGAAGCATTGAGGAGCATCACAGCAAGGGTAACATGGCAAACCCTGGCTCCAGAAGAGTGCCTGCACCCTCAGCACACCCCAGGCACATGCAGGGCTGTAAGGGCCAGCTTGGGTGTGAGCACAGAGCCAGGCAGCCATGCTATAAAGTCCCTTTTGTACCTGGATCCATATCATACTCCATTCTTCAGTTAGGATCCTGCCTCTCCCCACACAAGCTGGAAGGCCATTCAGAAACACACAGGATATTTGTGGTGTAAGCATCCCTGCAGTCCAAGGCCTGCTCTAACATGGTTTATCCTGGGCTTCATTTACTGGAGCAATGTTAAACTATGGCCAGACCCTGGGCAGCACATGGCTTAACATGTCCCTCAACATGTCACTGACCCATGAGTTTGGATGAAGATGAATTATACTCCATCTGGAACAACAAAGGATGTCCAGGATACTGGGACATTTCTGCTGCAACCCCACCACCAACTCTCCCTTCAACTCCAAACTGGAGCACCACAACTTTGGGCATCAAACCCAAGATTGCTGAAATAGGACATCGAGCCTGCTCCAACTCAGCATCTCCAAGGGAGAGGCTGGGGCTGGGGGAACCATGAATGTCTCTCCTACAGTCTGGTCCTGCCTCCTCCCTGCAGCATCCTCCACTTGGAGCAGCAGACTGGAACAGTTTCACGTTGGTATTTTTGGCAATCTGTTTTAAGAGCTCGCTGGTGTGTGGAGAGGAGAAAAGGACACAAATGCCCCAAATAACCATCATGTGTTAAGGGACAGAAAAACATTCTTGTATCTTTTCTCTCCATGTTAAACCCACCAGGTAGAAAACTGAGCTTGAGAAGAGGTGCTGCCGAACATTCCCAAGCAGTAAGATAGAGTATGCTCAACGTGGATGTAGGTATACCCAAATCCCCAAACGCACACGGAGGAGTTCGGTGCAGACAGCCTGTGTTGGCTCCTGTGTCCCAGACCAGCACTTCCCAGGGGAAGACATTACCACTGGTCATCACGGTGCCTGGCTCTTGTTGGACATGATCCATTGCACCCTCTCGTACCAAGTCCTATAGGAGGCGGGGAGCAAAATACCTTCATTCATTTCACATCTTCCCTATGCTCCATGGCTGGAAGAGGCAGGCGATCACCAACCCTGCTCCCAGACCGACTTCAAAGCTAAGGTGACCAGCTTAGCCCTGTCTGCAACTTGGGAACGTGCATACCAAGAGCCATGCACCATCCACACCGATGCCACGCGAGGGTACGAGGTGGCCATATGCCTGCAGCCCCTCCAGACAGCACCACCACAAAGCAAGCACACAGAGTGCTCCACGCTTGGCTTCACCATCTACCTGCTCCTCTGAGCATGCTGGCAGCACGCTCCAGCGCCTGCTGCATGGCTCTCCCTGCCACAGAAGGCCTGGGTGCCAAATCACACTGCTGCAGCCCATCAGAGCATCTCTGCTCAGAGAAAGGGACCCAGGAACTCACCAGCACCAGCAGAGGACCCTCCATAACCCCTTTTCCTAAGTCCCTGCAGGGCTGCCCTCCCTCCCTGCTCACACACACAGGCCCCCGGCGCTGCCTGCACGCATGGATACCCGCAGCCGCCTCCTTCCCCTCCCCGCAGCCCCGGCCCCAGAC